ATTTTTATTTTTTTTATTTTTTTTATTTTTTTCAGTGTTGAGGATGGAGCCCAGGACCTTGCACATGCTAGGCAGCACTCTAACCCTGAATTGCACCTCACAGCTGAAATTTAATGTTTATCCAGGTATGCATATAAATAGTTTTAAAATGCAAATAATACTGCAGGGATAGTAATTAAAAAAACAATTTCTTGCTTCATCTCTCCCATCCTTCCCCCTGCCCAAGTACCTCTTTCTGCAGAAGAAACCAATTTCAGCTCCTTTAAATAGTTCCTCCTGTAATTATTTCCATATTTGTATAAAATATACTTAAATTGTCATTTCCTGATTTTCTCTCAATATTGCACTTCCTGCTACGGAAGATGGAGATTTAGCTTTCCTACCAATCCTGCACCTTACCTCCAACTTCACATTTCCCTCCTCCTTTCTTATGTAGCATATATAATAACTTTTACTAAATAAATATTTACTTTAGTATGACCATGTGGGTATTATTTGTAGCCACAGCTATAAAATGTTAAGTAAAATAGAAACTGTTGGACATTTCTTTGAGTAGAAAGAAGTTTAATACAAGAAAATAAATCTGTAAAAATTAATTAAAAATACAAATATTGCCAGAAATTTGCCAATAGTTTTAACTGCCTGTAACCTAGATGTTGATTCTTAGAGAACATTTCAAATTTCCAGAAGTTGCTGCTGCTGATAACAATCATAGATTCATATGGACCACTAAAAGTTTTAGAGCATAAGAATCAGAAATTGTCAAATAGGACATTTAGACAAATCCACAGTAATAGAGATTCTAGTACTCCTCCCTTAACAACCAGAAGAAAAGTAGGCAAAAATTCAGCAAGGACAGAAAATCTGAATATTGTCACCAACCATCCTGACTTAAATGGTATTTATAGAACACTAAACTAACAATTGCAAAATACAGCACCGTATAGGTAGACTTACCAAGGAAGAAACAGAGTAGACAAAAGTTACTACTATCAGGAATGCAAGAGGGGACATCAATATAGAACTTATTAAAAAGATAATAAGGGAATATTAAAACTTTATGCCAGTAGATTTGACAGCCTATATGAAAGAGTACATTCCTTGAAAAATGTGAATACTAAAATAGAAATAACACAAATTATCAAAACAGAAACAAAAAATGGACTCTATATCAATTAAACAAACGGAACTTATAATCTAAAACTTTCCCTTACGA